GGGGGGGGGGGGGTTTATTAGCCCCCATATGTGATAGCAATAAAGTTTAGTGGGGGGAAAAAAGGGAAAAAACAATTTAAGTTCCCCCCCAAAAGATTTAAAGTTACAAAAAAACAAAAAGAAATTTTAAAGTCCCCACCCATACATACACGCATGCAAACATGCGTCGGGGGCGCATACGTGCAAAAAAGACGATTGCGCCCATTACACCGCACATGTTACATATCGCCGCGAACATCCGAGTGAGAGCAATAAGTCTAGGGCCATCAATCACTGATAACACTAAACTGATGAGCGGTAAAAGCTTTTAAAGTGTCGCCTATGGCCAATTTTGGGTATGGTAGTTTTCTGCGATTTCGCGGGTGCGCGCAATTTTAAAGCTTGACATGTTTGGTGTCTATTTACCCGACGTGACCCGTTCTTTTATATTTTACCAAAAAACTCTGTAATAATAAATGTTTCCTAACATAATGTAAAAAAGATTTATTTTTTTTCAAAATTTTCTGTAATTTTTCCTAATTATAATAAAAAATAAAAACCCCAGTGGAGTTTAAATACCACCAAAAGAAAGCTCTATCTGTCCCCAAAAAATGGTATAAAATTAATTTCAGTACAGCGTTGCATGAATAAACGTCAGTCAAAGTACTGCAGCGCTGAACACTGAAAAATAGCCTGGCCAGGAAGGGGGTCTAAACACCTGGTCTTGAAGTGGTTAAACAAATGCACTTCCATATTTACTCTTTTAAACCCAAGGCTGCCAGACGCTTATATAATTAAAGTTTAGATATATGTTGTGTTCAGAGAACCTATCCACAGCATAGTCGTATTTTCCAAAACAATACTTGGGAACATAACAGCTGCTTATTAACATTTCAAAGTACTCAGAGACAATTGCTACCTTTTGATGAATTTTCACAAATAAACCCAAATAAACAATTTGAACACTATGGGCTTGATTTACCTCAGGTTAGTGCTTCCTTACATATGTTTGGGTATTCTTTATAAAGTGAATTTTCACCTCATTCACTAAGCGAAAATTCCCTTCCAAAGTAAACAGCCTATTTACCTATAGTAAATCAACCCTCTCATATATTTACAACTGTTGTTTTTAATGGAAATTTTTTTTTATAAAATGCACTGACAATACTAAGACCTGATATTGGGCATATCAACAGGTCTCCCATCTATTGTCAGGTTTTCTATAAAAGTGCAGAACAATTGCTTCAAGATTGCAGGCAGGAGCAGGGACTGAATGCTGGTCTATTGCATTTGTATGAGACAATCCAACTTGTAAAGATGTAGTACCTCAAAGGGAAGACAGAGCTGGCAGCTTGGGGATAAGTGTACCACCACTGACATGTTTCAGGGACCAGTACCTCAATCAGAGAGACTTTTGAATTAGTATTAGATTTGTGATTTGTTTTGACCTGAGTTTAGCTTTAATTTGCCATTTGCTATGACTTGAAATTATAGATGCTTACAAACGCTACATATATAATTACTCTGATCTACAAATCTACCTTACATTTTAAACTGAGTAAGTAATGGTTAGGAACTCTGGCGCCTTCTTTTGTACTGGTTGTGTAACTTTGGGGAGATAAATGGCAAAGTAACAGTGACATAGGTGTGGGAATTATTACTAATGTCATTATTGCTAATAAGACATTTAGGCCTATATTACACATAAAGCCCTAAAGATATTGTAGGCAGGGTGAAAGATGACTCATAAGAGATTAGTTCTGTTTTCCATGGCTCGAGGGCAAACAACTAGCATATATATGTATTTCACATGTAGATTTAGTTAGTTGCTTGGGGTTCCACTTTAAAAATGGTAAGGGATACAAAATGGTATGCTGGATACCCTAATGGTATGTCATTAGGTCTGTAGATAATATTTTTCATGGTTGTAGAAAGGCTAAACCAAGAAAATCAGGCGAGATACCAGTAGTATCAGAGCTACATCTTACTAGTAGTAGGACCTTGTTAAGTTTAAATTGAATACCTTTAAATATTTAAAGGTATGTGTAAAATATTTCTTATTCTAGGCACTACAAACAAGAAATAGAAAAGAAAGTCTATGCTCCAGTATTGAAGATATAAAAAAAGGTTTAGCTAAATATGTTATATGCATTAAGCTCAATTTTCAAAGCTTTTAACAGCTGAAAATAACTATTTTAAAAAAAAATAAGGATCTTTTACCCGGTTTGTTAACTTGAACTTATTGTTTTCTATTCAATTTATATATTAAATATAATTATTTTGCAGGATGAGCATCCCGATGTTCCAGAGACAGCTGTTATTGGTTTTCCACATGACATTAAGGGAGAAGGTAAGATTGCCTAAATTGTCATTGGTTTAAACCAGATTATTAATCAGATGGTTAAATCAGATTGTCTTACTTTGCACAGACAGCTGCTCTTAGCTTTCATAAATTGACTGATGAATGTATAGGACATCGTCATTAATCACTTATATTGTACCTTGTAGTTATTAGTGGTAAAGAGATGGAAGCCTGTGACTAGTGAATGGATTTCACTCATCTATTATTTTGTATTACATTATATTTATTAACAAAGTGTGCACTGCCATCATTCTTATCTGTAGTTGTATGTGCAGTTTTGAAACCAAAGCTTCATTCAACCAGACATTTACTACATTAATTCATTCCTAATGACTCAGTAACTCTAGTTGAAGTATATTAGAAATTATTTGTTTCCTTTGGCTGGATCAATTAACTCAAATGATTGTTATTTTGTTCTAGGAAGTTCTATACTCAGTAGTCATAGTACAAGTTTTTCTTTACTATCTAACGAGGACAATGGAGTGGGGTGGTGGGTCACGAGCGAGCCACTTCCTATACTTTAAGTCAGTGTTCCCCAACCCCCGGTCCGCGGATCAAATGGTACCGGGCCGCACAGTCTCAGTGCGGTCCGGTCATGCAATATATGGCAGTGCACGGTCCCGGTGTTCGAACACCGGGGCCCCGCACTGCCGACGGGCTTCACAGTGAGGGGGCGGGTCCTGTGACTCACCTCCCCTCCCGGCCGCGTCTATAGTAACAGGCGGCGGGAGGGGAGGTGAGTCACAGGAGACGTGTGTGTGTCACACGCCCCGCCCCGCCCCCTGCAGTGAGTGCACACATCGACACATGGCTGCTGCTCCTGGAAGGGTGAGTCTGAGCGGGGGAAGGGGGGGTGTCTTACATCATGTCATGAGAAGTGGATTATAATGGGGAATATTACACTGTAATGTTCCCTATTATAATCTATTTCTCTGTTGTGTACTGCTATTTTATGTAATTAGACAAGTGGATTATAATGGGGAATATTACACTGTAATGTTCCCTATTATAATCTATTTCTCTGTTATGTACTGCTATTTTATGTAATTAGACAAGTGGATTATAATGGGGAATATTACACTGTAATGTTCCCTATTATAATCTATTTCTCTGATTAAATGATTACAGGTAGGCATGTGATCTATCAAAGTTTGAGACTACGTTAGAATGTGTGACCAGTGACGTGGTCACACATTTTAACGTAATCTCGCCCAGTTTTTCGGTGGTGGAATAGGTGAAGAATTCCAACGCTTTCATTTTTTGGTGTAACTGTATTTTATTTTGAAGGCATGTTTAAATACAATTAAATTAAAATTATTAAATCAAAACAATCTAAAATATAAACAATCAACGTCCCCCCCTCAGCGGGCCACGGTAAAATTATCAGACGTTGACTGGTCCGTGGCGATAAAAAGGTTGGGGAGCACTGCTTTAAGATATCAAAACAATCTAAAATATAAACAATCAACGTCCCCCCCTCAGCGGGCCACGGTAAAATTATCAAACGTTGACCGGTCCGTGGCGATAAAAAGGTTGGGGAGCACTGCTTTAAGTAATATGTAGAAACCAACTTTTTAATTTTAGCAGTATACATATGAAGTTTTGGCAGATCGGTGTTGGGGCGGATTGTAATAGTTTGGTCATAAACCAATCTGTGGCTGTATCCAAAACCAAAAAAAGTCTTGACTGGAGTTCTGCTTTTAAGGGGTAAAGTACATGGGGTGTCAGACTCAAGAAGCATGTTAACACAGCACACTTTCAGGTACATGTTCAAGGGTAGAGAGGCTTGCATTAGAGTTTGAATTGTTTTTGACTTGCAATTGTATGTATTCACATTTAAAAGTACATAGGAGAAAAAGGACTTCCTGCGTTCACTGTGGACTACCATCCAGACTGTCCACTGATCCTCACATAATTCTACTTATTTTATTACGCACTTTGCTTTCTGTTTCATGTATCTGTTCATGTCAATGTTTCACTGACATAAAATAGATAGTTCCGCCATCATTGTTAGATAACATTCCATTTAGCTGTTACTTCTCTTGTATGTCTGTGATATACAATACATTCCCCAGTCTGACAAATAAAATACACAAAAAAAATTAATAATAAAAAAAATCCTGCATTATGGATAGTTGAAAAAAAAAAGGTTATTTGATCAAAAGAGAACACCGTTTTAATAAACAATCTATATTGGCTAGTGTATAAATGTCATAATAACAATTCCAGTGACTTACAATAGATTCAGATGCCAACAACAGCAGTTAGTGCAAAAAAACATATAAAACCTACATAGGTAGCATATAGAGAAAATTCCAACACTGGTTAATAATCTGTAATTAAAACACTAGTTCAGATATTCTTACATTATAACCACCTTTATCAATATCATCATCATCATCATCATCATCATCATCATCATCTCAGTCTCTGCATGATTACAAAGAGCTGATATTTAATTCAGCTATGCTGTTGCTGTATATCAATTTGCTGGCTGTTGACACAGGTGAGGATCTCATCCAGTTCTAGAGGCTGATGTGATCAAATAGCAATGATGATGCAGCAAATGGGAACCTGTGGTCAGCCTTGCAGGAGGGATTACTGCAGCATATTGCCAGCATCCTGTGAACTGGAAAAGGAAACGTTTGGACCTTTTACTAATCCACTTCCAAATATCATCCTCCTCATTCCACCTGACCTCTGAACAGTTTACTAGACAACTGCCCAATTTATTAGTGGTGTAAGAATGCATACTGTCCAAATAGGAGAATGGTTTGGAAATCCAATCTGGATAAGAGAGTCTTTGATGGTTAGATTCTCTGTGGATCTGGGTTCTAGCTAACCAATTCTATATTCTTTACTCAGAGACAGTGCTAATTCCAGAGATGACAATGTGCCTAATGCTGCAGAAGTGATCCTTGCCCAGGAACAAACAGTGCTTCTGGGAGTCAGACAAAAGCAATCTTCAGCACTAGATAAGAGATTTGGCTATTAGAGGCAACAGGCTCCCTTTAAAGTGTATTTCCACTTTAGCAGTCAAATCTGAGAAAACATCTCTATATGTTTGCTATCTGATCCTATTCCCACAGCATAAAGAAAAATAATAATTAAAAAAATAATTCTTACATTTTAGAAGTTTTTCTCAGCAACTTTACCGTGATCTGTCCTAATGAAAAGGCTTAGGACTGAAATTTGAGGATTATGTTTCTTTCATTCACTTAATTAACATACAATGGAGAAGACCCCTCACCTCTCAGTCTCTCCTAACATTGCAAAAAAAGATAAGCAAGTAGAAATGTAAACCCTCAGGGGGTTATTCACATAGCTAGCCGAAGGATCAGCCGTAGCTTTGGCTGATCCTTCGGCTAGCTTCCGTTGCGGGAGCCCTTCGTTTCAGTTGAACCGAAGGGCAGCTGTACGAGCTATTCACTATAGCCCGTGCAGCTCCCGAAGGCAGCCGAGCGGCTCAGCCGAACCGAAGACATATGCTTCGGCTGGACCCAGCCGAAGTGACAGCCGAACACCTTGCAATTGACAGCTGGGTGGAGCCATCTGTGATCCCACGGCTGGCTCCGCCCAGTTGTAATGGCAGATCAGCGTCCCCAAATGACCTGGGGACGCTAAACTGTCATTAAACTATGACAACTGGGCGGAGCCGACCGTGATGTCACAATCGGCTTTGCTCAGTTGTTTTTCATGGGCTGGAACCTGCTAGAAGACTTTAGCAGGTTCAGGCCAATAGGAAACAGTTGGGTGGAGCTAGCTGTCACTGCTAGCTCCGCCCAATTGTTTTTTTTATTAATTTTTTTTTCTTTCATAAAAAAGTATTTACATTTATTTACATTTTTTAAATATTTTTTTTTCTGCTCGGTACCTCAGCAGAATGCTGCGTCTCAGCCAATTGAGATGTTGGATTGGCTGAGTCCTTCTGCATTTCGGCTCAGCCTGACCGAAGTGCGGCCGAAGGCAGCCGATGTACAGCTGAAATCAGACGTACTGAGCCGTAGTGGAGCCGTTGTGAACCCTAACACAAATAAAAACAGTCTAAACTGCAAGAAACGTGTTGAATTTTTTTTTTTGTGGTTAGCTTATGCTATGTGAATGGCAACAACTGTAAAATAGGTGTTATCCCAATTTGGCTGCAAAAGTGGAAACACGCTTTCAGTTTCAAGCTGGTACTCAGTGTATTTCATATGTATGAAGCAAACATACCATAGCTAATTATAACAGAGGTCATACTTATTATTAAACTCTATATGGAATACACCAGTTGCTTTAAATAAGTATTCCAAGTCATTGCAAATTCAAATAATAAGACTTCACTTCCTGACACAAACCCTGAAAGCTGCACACACTAAAAGATGTTATCTCTGAAGCAGATTTAATTGTGGCTATAAAAGAACAGCTGCAGCAAAACATATAGCAGCAATCTATAGCTAATTTATATATCTATGATATATGTCCAGTCGGGTGAAACGCATTATAGCCGAACATCCAGGATGGGAATGACAGTGTGACCGTGATGTAAAGATGTAAATAAAGCCTAATGTGTGGTGGAGATATGGAGTGCAGTTTTGTTTGTTTGACAGGAAATGTGAACTTCTAATGCATGTATCTTTCAGAATCCCCTTCCCTGTGATGAGCATTTTCCTATAAACACATTCACTTATCAACATCACACCGCTCCAGTGATCTTCACTGTGCAGCTCTTCACAACCTCTTAGGCCCCGTTCCCACTGCGCGATATGCAAATTGCGCGTTTGTCACGCGATTTGCATATTGCGCGATATCGCGAGATTTGCCGCGCGATATCGCGTTCAAGCTTGCATTGAGCATGCTTGAATCGCAGCTAAATCCGCTCCAAAAAGGGTCCTGCTGTAGCGACACACGACCCGCGACGGCAGGACCCTTTGCCCCATTGATAATGCATTGGAGCACGATATCGCGCGTTAATTTGCCGCGATATCGTGGGAATTACCGCGCGATAA